ACCCCCCGCCCTGCCCTCCCCTCCTGCCTCCTCGCACAAGGCCAGACTTGGTGATGGCTTCACATCCTTTCTGTGCCACCTAATTGCGGAGTGACCCCTGAGCCTGTGTCCGCATCTGAAAAGGGGGGATGCGGTCACAGCCCCCAGTGCTGTGTGTGAAGCTGGATGTGGCGACAGGGAGAAGCGTCCAGAGCAGAGACGGCCTCCCAGGCTGTGCAGACCACGTGTGATAAACGCCAGCGGGAATGTCACAGCAGACCTGGGTTAGGGCCGTTCACACCTCCAGCAGCCACAGGCAGCCCGAGGCACGCGCTCCCCTGCCCCACCCGGCCCTCCGAGGCAGGAAATGAGAACACACAGGATTAGAAAGCTCCCTCAGATGGACGCACACGGCTCATCAGACCACACGCCAGCGGCGGAGCGGAACTCCTGACGGCCCGTCCAGGCTCAGCGTGTGAAACCAGGGTTTCAGAAGCGGGTCCTCCAGCTCTAAACACCAAAGCCGACAAACAGCCACACACAGAGGGGGCACCCCTGGCGGAGCAGGCGCGTTACCTCGCTCAGGCTTGGGCCCCGCGGGGGGTGGTTTTCTCTGCACTTGCTTGGCAGCTTAAAAAGAAAAAGCCACAGGAAGCCTCATTACAATCAGGCAGAAATGGGGCCTGAGGAGCTCTTCTCCCGGCCGTGGGCGCCCAGCCAGGCCGAGGGGCTGAGGTGGGAGGCAGGGAAGGCGTCCAGGGAGCAGGGGCCTGTCTGTCAGGAAACAAGGTCAAGGGGCCCACGGGGTGCTCTGTCCACCTGCAGGCGGCCACCCGAGAGCGGGTGAGAGCCAAGGAGAGAGGCACGTTCATGCTTCCAGCTGTGGCTCCAGTCGTGTGAGCCAACTGCATCGTGTGAAGTGACACAGAGCATGCAAAGTCGTATGTAGATCCAGTCACAATTCCTCACTGACCCCATAGCATAGGCACCAGGTACACGAGGAAAACACTGCATGGAAAACCAAACCAGCGCGTCCTTGTAGGCATCGCCCGAGGGCAGACTCGGGCTAGACGCCACGCAAAAGCCTGCCGCCGGCGAAGGGCTCTGAGCTGCCACCCCAGCCAATGGCAGCAGATGTGTCATTGGACCAGGCCAGGCTCACGCACAGCCGTACAAGACCCACAGGCTCCTGAGCATCCCCCCAGAGCCAACACAGGCCAGCGCCCCCTGACTTGTGCAGCATCGAAACCCAGTTGCCCGGAACATGTTTCCTGCGAGAGGGGGGGCTAAGCCTGGCTCTCCCCAGTCCCCAAAGAGGGCTACGACTCTGAAAGCACCGTCGGAAGCAAAATCGCTCCAGGGGAGCCTTTCCTGCTACTGAACCGACCAGGTTTACTCCCAGGAGCAAAGGACAGACAGCAACGGATCAGCGAAGATGCTCAGCTTCTGTCAGAGGGTCCCCAGCACCCCAGCAAGTGAGGCTGGGCAGAGGCCGTGCCCTGTGTAAGGTCACACATAGTGACATGCCTGGGTGGCCGTCAACACACCTTCCAGGGGCCCTGGACTGGGTGGGGGTCAAGAGAAGCTCAGAGAAGCCCCCTCCCTGCCCCTTGTTACCATGCGGCCTCATTCTCCTCCTGCCTCCAACGAGCTGGTAGACGCAGCCGTGCAAACCCTGAGCTTGACACCTTCGTGGATAAAAGCTGGGGACACAATATCTAACTAAGAATTGTCAAGAAGGCGGACAAGAAAACGCACGATCCAATGCTTAGCGAGCAGAAGGCATGGAGGAGCCACCAGAGGCATGAAATGTCAGGGACAGTTGGAGACGAGGGTTGGGTTCCGGAGACGGTTCTTACCCGGCGGGGTCTTTGGGGACGGCGTGGTTTTTGCTGGAATCCTGGTGGCATTGGCCGGGCCTTTCTGGCCTGGAGGGGCCGCTCCCCGGGGTGTGGCAATCTTGGTTCCAGTTTTAGTGTCTGCCCCCTGTAAACCGAAGCATGGTAGCGTGGTTTTTACGGTTGAGAAAGGACATTGTTACTTGGCGTCGATGCCACTTAACCACTTTGACTCAAAATGAGGCTACGGGTGGGGTGACCCTTTGCCTACACGAATGTCTCCTACAATCACAAGGGTTTGCTGGGCACACAAACCGACAGCCCTAAGCGCCAAGCGCTCCGAACACCGTTTCCTCCTGGGGGAACGTTCAGGTGAGTCATCAGCATGAGCTGCGCTAATGTGCGGCGTGAACGGCCATGGACTGACAGTGAGGCTCAGGCTCACTCTCCGCCAGGGCCGCTCAGCAGGCAGGACATCAGACCGCCCCGTGTGGACACCCGTTCTCTGCCTCTCCTCAGGGATCTGACTGGCGGTGGCTGGTTTCCCCAGAGGCCCGTGAGGACCCTGTTTGTTGAACTTGACCGAGAGTGCTCCAGAGCTAAGTCATACTCTTCTGTTCTCTCACAAGCAACCCTGGGTTTCAGCGACTCCTTAGATGCGCTAAGAGCCCATGGTGGGTGGACACAGCATCGATTAGCAAACCGGCCCGAGGCTGAGCAGGGCACCAGCACAGCCAGCTGGCAGTGCCCGGGCCTGGTTACCCAGTCGATGACCCTGATACATAACTTGGAAAAGACACTGGCATTCACCAAGGACCTAACGATGGCTGAGGAGGGAGTCAACTAGCGGGTCAGGCGTTGCCGCCCAGCGAGGCTGGTATCCAACCCGAGAGGGCAATCTGGAAACACTCCAGTTCCCCAACCGGGAGTGGACAGGGGAGCCCCACTAGAGCGGCGACTTCACAGCGGGGTCCCGGCAGGTGCCTGGGGGCTGCTGCTATGAGGACTAAGGGGGCTTAGAAGGATGACTGAGGCCCCATCCCCATTCCAACTGTTCTGTGTGGCGCTTCTAGGTAAGAGCTGATCTGAAGAAGGTCTTTTCGGCTAACAGAGACACACATCGGGAAACCACACGAGAGCAGCCTGGTTCTTTGCGGAGGCGTTTTCCTTACCTTGACTTTCATCTCCTTTGCTCCAGAACCGCCGGTTCGGGGCGTGACAGAAGAGACGTGTTTAGGAGAGGAGGATGGCTCTGGGCACACGGCAGGGCTGGAGGGTTTGATCAAAGGGTCTGAGCTACCAGGAGGGGGGCCTTTGGGGCTAAGGCAGGGCCTACTGTTCAGGGTTTTAGCAGAGGAAGGTGTGGATGTCTTAAACATAAACATAAATAAAATCAAAATAAAAGTCAGCACATGGGGGAGGGAAACAAACTGAAAAAGACAGTAACTAAACATAAACAAGGCAGGTAACGGTCTACGGCAGGGATCTCCACCTGTTTGGATCATGTACCCTTGGCAGCCGTCATCGGCCAGAACAGGTGGGGACGTGCGCCCTCATGGACTCGGCCAACGCCATGCCATGACGCCAATATATGCAGTGCATTATAGAACGCACATGTGACAGGACTTTTAAAAGAGAAGCCGAAAAATGGAGAGAAGTTCTAGAACGTTCTGTCTTGATCCCATTGGATTTTTTTGTGCCTGCTCCCCCCGTCCCCCGCTCCCCACTTTGGAGATTTTTTTGATTTACAGGTGTTTCATGTCCAAAAGTTGGTGGAGATCACCAAAGTAGATGATTCTAGGATGTTTCTCAATAAAACTTCTGCAGCGTGTCAAGCGTCCAACATGCCCAATTCCAGGTGCGGCGCCAGGCTGGCCTGCTCACCCCTGGCGCCCTCCCCCTCGCTGACAGGTTGGAACCGCTACAATCAGGGCTGGGCCTGTTCTCAGTCTCAAAGATTCTGCCCGACACCACTTAGCGCTCTCGCTCTCTCTCTCTCTCTCACACACACACACACACACACACACACACACACACACACACTTTCTGAATAAAATCTGCAATAGAATTGAACTTGATCTGGTGAACCCTAATCTGGCCCATGTTTCCTCTGGAACGTGGGCCACTTAAGGAAAAGCCTGGGTGGGCGGGGCGGCCCAATGGGACGGGTGCCTGAGAGCCGGATGACCTCAGAGACAGCTGCACTTGGCGATGTGTGGCTGGCACCTGTGGTTTGTCCTAACACCCTGGGGGGACTCTGACCAGGGTGTGTGGCCCAGGGAGAGGAGGGGCTACACTTTCAGGAATAAACCCTGGAGGACCAGTCTAGAGGTAGGGCTGAGTGATGACAGGGCAGGTCCTGACAGAGATTTTACTGGTTTCTGGGGTTTGTTCTTCATCGCCCTTGCATACCCCACAGAAGCCTCAGCGAGGAGGACGGCCCAAGGGATGGAGGAGGAGTGAGGGGAGGGATGCGAGCTGAGGTCCTGGGGCTGGTGAAAAGGAAGAAAAGCTGGGGATGGGTACTGGCAACGCCTCCTTCTCCAGATGCACAGGCAGCGCTCTCCCTACCAAGCTGTCTGAGAGACCTGACCCCTCACTATGAGCAACTCTAGGGCAGGGACGTTGCACCATGTGTGGGAATGAATGAATGAATGAATGAAGAGTGAATGCACGAGGCTGAGGTCCCCCTAAATGTGCATCATGGTTGGCAAGCAGCTATGGCCACTGCTTCAAGCACCGAAGGCAGAGCCCCATCCCCCAAGTCTCTGCAGGACCCTCGGCTGACTCACAGGGTCTTGTGATGGGGAACCCTGACTTCCTACAGGACAGCGCTTTGGGGAGTGGCCCTCAACACGGTACCATTTTGCACCTGGGGGCTCCATCAGGGCTCCGGGGCTGATGAAGACCCAGGCCTTTCAGGCGGAATTGATAACGGGAATTTTAGGCACCTTTAAGAAAAACAGATCTTCGTCTAGGGCAGTGATGGCGAACCTTTTGAGCTCGGCGTGTCAGCATTTTGAAAAACCCTAACTCTGGTGCCGTGTCACATACAGAAATTTTTTTTTGATATTTGCAACCATAGTAAAACAAAGATTTATATTTTTGATATTTATTATATATATTTAAATGCCATTTAACAAAGAAAAATCAACCAAAAAAAGAGTTCGCGTGTCACCTCTGACACGCGTGTCATAGGTTCGCCATCACTGGTCTAGGGCCATGGCGGGATTTTCCTGGGAAAACACTGCTGTGCAGTTACAGGAGCGCAAAGTCACTGAGGGGGTAACTCCAGCTGATGGGAAGTCCTGGGTGCAGTGCTGGTGGGCGGGTGGGGGCAGCAGGCTGTTTCTCTTACTGACCCTGGGGTTCGTTTCTGAAGACTGACGACTGCACACGATCAAATCACCGCCTTGGCAAGATGTGAAGCGGCATCTACGGCGCCACGGCCGCCACACATGTCCACTTAGCATTCAAGGTGAGTGCCAGGCTTCCCTCCTCTGCCAGCCGCACCCCCACCCCCCTCCAGCTCTGCAGCCACCAAGCCAAGCTGCTTAGAGTTCTTGGAAGGCACGAGGCCTCTCTTCCCAGTCTTTGCTGTGCTGTTGCTGCCCTTAGAATGCCTTTCCCACCCCCGCCTCGCCAACCCCCCTTTGTAGGCCCGCTCTCCTAGGGCTTTCCCGGAACCCTCCACCTTAGGTTGGGGGTCACGTCCTTGCTCAACACTCCCTCAGCCCCCCCAAGGAAGTGATATTTTTCTATCTAAAGCTGCACTTTAGATATATGTGTATATATACATATGTTTTTGAGCCCAGACCTGCAGCGAGAAGTGTAAGATGTACAAAATTCAGAAAAATCAAACGTACCTTCATGTCCCGTGAACACCTCATTTAACTAGGCTAACGGATGGCACCTCGGAGCAGGGCTCCTGAGCCAGCCGACGGCCCTGCCCTGGCACAAGTAGCAACGGGGGTAAACGCGGGAGTTTCACGTTGGCGTAAAAACAAGCGCTGGGAATGGCAGCTGTACCTCAGTGACACGTATGCAGACACATTGTACATAAAAACTAATTCAGACATAAAGCACTGCTTCTTGGTAGACTCGGCGGCAGACAGCTCCGTGGTTTCGGCAGCTTACCTTGGTTTTCTTGTCGTCGGTTCCAGCCCCGTCTTTGCCTTTGCTGACCATGCGAGCTGATGAGATATAAAACGAGAATGGGCGTTACACCCATTTGCACGGCTCCTGGACGGGGCCCGGGGCCGTCAGGCCACTTTCTCAGGGTAGTGCCACCTGCTTTGCTCAGGTGGGCTCAGTGGGAACCACTGATGCTGTCTCCCCTGGAACCTGTTAGGCCTCTCGCTGTTAGTATCAACACAGCACGCTGGGGTCGTTGCTTGGTGCACCCTGACGAGGGCAGCAGGCTGGCCGAGGGTGGGGACATGCAGAGGGGATGCAGAGGCAACTTCTGGGCACACGTTGGCACAGGGAAGGCAGGCCCTGCCTCTCACGGGCTCCCTTCCTGCCTCTGCCTGGGCCAGTCACCCCCCCAGCTGGGGCCAACTCCTCTCCAAGGAGGGGCACTTGAAAGCCCCAGGGCCACCGATGGGGCAGCTCAGCCAGGCTCTGGCCCCTGCAGGACCCCGCTCATGCTGTCACCCAAGGGTCAGGGCCAGCCCCTCACTCATGGGTGCTTTGGGCACCAGCCCCAGCTGTTCTCCAATGAGCCCAACCCGAAAATGACCCAGCCCTGGAGGGTCTTTTTACCACCTGGTGGCCCTCCCAAGGGGTTAATCCTCGCATTTCCCCAAATTAGCTCATAACTGGTTACCATCGAACATCCTACAGATGACCTCTGGATTTTAGGACTAAACCATTGACCGCTTTTGTGTTTAGAAAGCCACACCCCTTGGTGAAACCAGTCTACTGGTCTACCAGGGCCACCTCTGCCTGACCTTCTCCTTCTACTGACATTCATTGTTGAAGATTGATTCTAGATTTGTCTTTGATTTCAATATTGTAGTGCCCTTGCCCCAAGGACAATGGGGCCTCTTGGAGCTGCTCACTGGCTACGGGAGACTGGATTTTAGAGTGACCGGCATTGATGAGCTAGCCCAGAGGTTTTCAGACTTTACCGTGATGAATCACCAGGAGAGGTTATTAAAATGCAGGTTCCTGAGCCCACCCTGAGACTCTTAGCCAGGCTCCAGGACCTGGTTCACAGCCTTTGCCCACATCAACCATCATGCATGTCACATCCAATGCGTCTGCTAGATCAGCATTTCCCAAATTGGAGGACTGCTGAACAGGCCCTCTTCCAGGAGATGTAAGCAGATGAGATCAAATAACTTTGGGGAATTCATACTATGGGTCCTTCTCAGAGGGCCAACATGTGCATTAGATTATTAAAGACTCGGGTAAGTCCTGCACCAGCAAACCTTATTTAACTTTTGTTTAGTCTAAGCTGACTGGACCATGGACACACCTGTCAGCATCCAGTGGACCACGATTCTATAAAACACTGTTTTCAAGAAGTGGTGTTGTAAGGTGTCAAGCCACAGTTATTTGCCTCCTACTATTTTGGAACTTAGGATATTTTAAAATGGACACAGGATTTTTTTTTCTGTTTTAAATTTTAAGGGATTATAAATTTATTAGGTCATCTGGATACCAGATGGGTTGAGCTCCAAAATGGCACCAGCCTCTGTTTTGAATTTTAAATACAGCTTCCTTTATCGACAACATTTCCAAGTTTTCTTGCCATGCAGGATCTAATAAAAACTTAACAGGTGTTTGCCATTGACAGCTTCAGTAGCATCCATGTCTGAACCCTGAAAACAACCCTAAAATGCTCAGGGCCCTAAATGTACGGATGCACCTGACGTGGCCAGGAAGCCGCCTTGGGTTGTACACTGTGCCCTCCCTGACAGGACACAGAGACCTCGACACTTGGGAACCGCCCCTCCCATCTCTCCAGCCCCCAAAGGGTGACTGTGGTCTTGCTTCCCAGGGCTCAGGAAGGGGGGTGCTTTGAACAGGAACATTTTGTTCCTCTCATTGTCCCTCCTGCGGGGTGGGTGTGGGTGGGGTCGTTGTGTCATTGGCTCAGCGTGGGCTGTTGGCCACCTCTGAGCGCTTGTGTGTGTCACCTGCCACGCGTGATGCATTGTCCACTGACAAGAGCAGCAGGAGGCGGGCACGTGCCCTCTGCGTCTCTGGGCTAGGAGGTTTCGCTCCAGAACCTTCTGGAAGTCACTGTGGTGTACAAGGAAGAGCTTCCTTTCCGAGCAGGCCTACCTGGATTCTAAACCTGGCTCGGCCATTTGCGACTTGGTAACCTTCAGTGAGTTACTGTGCCTCTCTGAGCCTCAGTTTTCTCATCTGCCAAGTGGGGCTAATGACACCCACTTGGGAGGGCTGGGAGGGCTCGACTATACATTTATGGCGCACGATAGGCCCTCAAAAGTAGGAGCAGCTGTTATCCTCTCTGGAGTGCGGCCCACCAACCTCCCGTGGGCTGGTGGAATGTGCGGATAAACCAAGTGGCTGGGGGACTGAACAGGGCAGGAAGCGCTGGGTGGGGGTGTTGGTGACATGCAGAACGGCGGGCAAGCGTGAGGGGGGCACGTGCGTCCAGGGCCTGGGGGCAGGAGGCCACGGGAGGGTGAGCAGCGGGACCCAGGCGGTCCGCTTAGTGGCTGTGCCTGGGAACCTGGAAGCGGCAGGCATCACGGGGGCCAGAAGCTGAGTGGCAGTGCCCGCAGCCTGGGTGGCACACGGGGTTCCGGGAAGCAGCTCAGGAGCTCTTGACACAGACCTTTGAGTTGAGGGACCCGGCTGGCGGGCTTCCCGGGCAGCCCAGCCGCAGGCTGCTTTTCAGGTGGTTCTTGAAGGTCAGTCTTTTTTGTGTCCTCTCCCTCAGAGGGGCTTGGGGGCTCTGAATCCTCTCCAGGGGCCCCCGGAGGGGCAGCTCCTCCCACATCCACCTGGGAGCCTCCCTGCTCCTTCTGCACGTTGGCTTTGATTTCCACGTGGAACGTGAACTCGGGGGGCCCGTCATGCACTTCCACAGGCCCCGTGCTGGGCCCCTCAGGCTCTGCGGCCTGGGGCTCTGTGCAGACTTTGGGGAGGAAATCGACACGGAGGGGAGTGGCACCCTCAGCTGGGAAACCGGGGGTGCCAGTGGCTTCTCTAGAAACTGTCTCGGGGGCTGGCCCGCCTTGGGCTGGGGAGCTCTGCAGACCTGGGGAGACCTGGGAGGGAGGGGAGACCTGGGAGGGAGGAGAATCCTGGGAGGGAGGGGAGTCCTGGGGTGAGGACTCGTCGATGTCGCGGTCTTCATCCACCTCCTCACCCCCCAGCCTCTCTTTGCCCTGATGCCCCTTCAGAGGCGGCCCCTCCTGGCGCAGGCCTCCCAAAGGCTGGTGCTCCAGCAGCCCCAGGCCACGGCGACTTCCCGCTGTGTCCTCGGGTTCTGTCCCCAAGGGCGGGTACACGGCTTCTCTGGGACTCTCAGGCAGGATGGGAGCCCCAGGTACGTCGGGCATGTGCTGGCGGGTCAGACCCGGGGTCCTCAGGCCCGTGTCCGCATCTCCGTGACGCCTCGGCTCTCTGAGGACGCCTTCCTGGACCAGCTCTGTCTGCAGACGCCCAGGGGAGCTGGGCTCCGGGAACGCCAGGGCCTCCTCGGCCCGGGCCCCTGGCTTTGGTCCCCACTCCTGGAGGGGCTCCCGAAGGCCTCCTGTTGGAAGAGGCGGTGGGCAGGTGGGCGGATGCTGAGGACGGTGAGAGACTTGGACTTCTGGCTGTTTCTCTCCCCGAGGCAGCACAGAGACCCCAGAAGCTTCTCTGCCGTGTCCAGGCTGAACCTGAGAGCTAAGTCCATCGGCCAGGGGCCTCCTGGGCACCTCCCTCAGCTGACCAGGAACTCTCAACTCCTCTGGGTTTGAAGAGGCAGCGGTGGCAAAAGGTTAGCAAGGGCTCATTGGTTGTTTAAGAGGGAGCACACGTATTTGTTGCAATAGGAAAAGGACATTTAAATGACATCACAAGCCCGCACGCGCTGTGCCCACCCTCCTTGCTTTGGTCTGCTTGGAATGAAAGCTCTCTCGGTCTATGCTGGGGGGTGGGGGGTGGGGTTGGGGAGGACGGGGTGAGCACCTCCCCTCTGCAGGCCTGTTTTCTCACCTTGGACCTGGTGAGTGCCGGGCCCCATCTAGCATTGGTGTTAGGCCCAGACACTTCTTAAAGCCAGGTGGCCTCAGTGGTGGCGCTAACCATTGGCTAAATCCCATATCACTTTTTGGAGAAAAAAAGAGCACCTAGTTCCTAGCTATTTTGCAATCTAGAAGCTTCCACATTACACAGTAGACTCTGAAGTTCATTTATGCAGCAAATGACAGCCAACAAACCCAGCCCACGTTGTATCAGAGGTCTCCATTTCCTAAGAAGGATCTCTAGGACTTAAAAAGATTAATTTCTTAAAGGTTGTATGCTAAATGATTACAGAAAGTTGCTTTTCTTGAACACAGCAGTTTTGGTTCCTGAGAATAAAATCATAATAGGGTTTGAAGTTTGCACAGAAGAAAACGGAAAAGAAATGGCCTGTTGGGGGTCTGGTTGAGGCCTTGCTCCTGGGACAGACCAGAGGGCACAGCCTGCTGGGAGAATCGCCCGTCACACATCTTTGCGTTTCTGTTGGATATTCATTCCCTCTTCCCCAAGTGGGACAAGGCCAGCTTTTTTTCAGAACACTAAACCCTTTAGGGTTGACTCAGAAATAGTGCTGGGAAAAACATGTTAGAGCTCTTTCTAGATCCCCACAGCCCGACTTTAATAAGTGCCACCCCCTAAAAATCTGCCGGGCCTGTGACTTAGGGCCCAGGCCCCAATTCTCTTTTCAGGGTCGAGTCCGCCTGAGACTTGACATCTCCCCCCTCCCAACCCCCAAGGCTTGGCAGGCAATTCCAGCCACTGACCTTGAGTCACATGTCCCGCCGCTTGGTCTTCCAGGCTGGGGGTGTCTCCGATGCCTGCTTCTTCAGCTGGTTTATGTGTCGGCAATGAAGGAGAGAAGAGCAGAGACAGTTACTGTGTGCTAACAACAAAGCTCTCCGCACCTCCCGGTCGTTTTCTGAAAACATTAAAAAAGGCACCTTTACCAGTATCTAGGGGCTGTCCCTCCGACTCGCTGGACATGTTATTGCTGGGGATGTTGACTACACAAACCCCTCACACTGTACAGGTGACCTCAGTCCGGTAGGAAAGACCTTCCCCACAGTGGGCCAAGGGTTCTGAGGGCCCCACTGGACAAAGACACACAGGATGGGTGAGGCCAGAGGAGCAATTTGCTGCCAGGCACGGCCATGGGCCCCATGTCCGGATGTTGAGTCCCAGCCCCAGCTCGGGGCAGAGGTGGAGGGGAGGGCCAGGCCTGGGCTGTGGAGTCAGGCTGGGACTCACACCCAGGGCCATTATTGACTTAACCTCTGCGCCTCCATTTCCTTACCTAGAATCCCAAGGTGACGATACCGGTTCTACTCCTACAGGAGAGCCGTGAGGATTAACACAAGAATTTGTGTGAACGTGTTTAGCAAAGCGCCTGGCAGACAGCAGGTGCCCCAGAGCTGTTTGGTTTCTTTTCTCTCAACCACGGGAACCCCTGGAACTGCGTGCCCAGAATAGGCGCCTCCTGGTTCGAGGGAGGCCAGCAGAGCCAGTGATAGCGTTGGGGTGTCCTGGGCTCCTGCTTAGCAGCTCAGCCCAAACACAGAAGACTGAGCAAAGGTTTCTGCACATTTCGATGGTGCTGAAATCAATAAGCTTTAATGCGATGCCAATTTCAGCCTCATAGTAAATAGGATACTGCTACAGGACAGTGAGTATAACTGTCCAGAAGAAAGAGCCTACAAGACCAGTCAGCCATCCATTCCCACGCGCTGGCCTCGGGAGCCCAGTGACAGAGAGCCCCCCGCCCCCCGAGAAATGCCTATATGCTGTTGGCTGGGCCACCAGTCTTTTCTCCCACACCTGCAATGACTCAGCCTCTACACCTAAGACAGAAATGACAGGTTACCATCCCTGGCCACACGGGCCCACCACGGAGAGCACAGAGGAGGGAAGGGGAAGACTCCCTGGTCTCCATGATGGCCTTGTAAACACCCGCCCACTGGCTGTCTCAGGGCAGCTGTGGTGAGGGGGGCCGCGGTGAGCTCAGGAAACTCCCCATCTACCAGCTCATAGCACAACCGCCCTCTGGGCCCCCGAGCTGACACTGTGCTGCCCGTGAGGTCTAATGGTGACAACTCCATGTCATTTGACGATACTGTCCGGGAGGCGAGGCTCCAAACATAGATTCGGTCTGAGTTTCTGTCGAGGTTACGGAAGGAAAACTCAGTGACGGCAAGTCCCGCTGAATGGCACAGATCCGGGAGACAGAGCACATGAGAGGCATGCCAGGATGATGTCACCATCGTGGCCCCGGGAAGTCGGCAGCTTCCACAGGCCAGCGCAGAGCTGTGATAGCCTGGCCCTGGCACCAGCTTGAAATTGGAGGGTGCCGAGAACTCTGATGACCCCTAATGCCAGCAAGGGGGGCCTCCGAGAAGTCCGAGGGAGGGAGGGCGTGTGACCGTGGCTGGCCCGGCACATCACTATATGGCCTCGCCGTATCCTTGAAGCCCCACGAGGCAGGGGCTCCCACCCCAGCACGGCAGTGATTCTTGCAGTGGGGCGGCCACACTGCACCCCCAATAGGACCTCAAATGCGAAGTGTTCAGGGGGCACCAAGATACAGCAAATGGAACCTGCCAGTTGAGGTGCCAAGCGAAGGTGCATATTGTCCAAGTCAACAGCTGAGCCTCTAACACCTTCTGCCTCATGAGGAGGCAAGAGGATGGAGGGGAGGGTATCGCTGAGGAGGGTTTCTTTAGAAAGATTGGGGGGGGGCCATGTGGACACCCCCCCACCTCAGTCCCAGTGAAAGGGGTTCAAGGCACCCCTTGGAGACCCTTGGTGAGTGTCCTCTATGGTTAGCGCCATGGGGGGACCCTACCTTGGAAAGTAGAGGAGGGGAGAGGCCAGCCCTGCTTTGGAGGGTGGACAAGGAATATGGTGGAGGCCCTGCTGTCAGTCTGCAAACCACAGTTTGGGCAGAGAATGTCCGTGTGTCTCCCTTAGCGCTCCCCTGGGTCAGGGCAGCGTCCGTGTGGGGATGCTCTAGACCACGTCCAGCAGGTCCCCAGCTGGAGCAAGCGCCTCTGCAGAGGTGAGGCTGCAGGTAGATCGTCAGCCCCCAAGGAGCAGCGGAGAGGAAATGTCTGCCTGAATCAAGACCAGGGAGGAACTTTTGGGGGGGATGTCCAGGTGGGAGGAGACGGGAAGAATTGAAAAAAGGTCCCCATAGAGAGAGTCAGCTTTAAACACCGCAGAGAGGGTGCGGGCAGTGGCCCTCGCAGTGCCAGCCAGGAAGGCTCTTCCTGCCTCCCATCCTCCCCCTCCCCAGCCCAGAGGGGAGGGGCTGCAGCCTTGAACGAGCTCTGACCTTTGCATGGAGTGGACCTTCTGATCGGCATTTGCAGACTGTATTTTGTGATTAATGAGACGAAAATCTCTTTGATCACCTAGGAGTGATGGAAAGTGGGCTACAGTGTTCACCCCGGGCAGGGGAAGGGCCCCCATTGGATAAAGAGTGAGGGACAAACACCAGGGGACTCATGATCTCATCCCACGAGTCCTTTCTTGGCCTTCACACCATCTTCCCTGTCAAGGACGAGGCCTGGAGGGCTTCGAGAACAATCCTCTCCACCCACCTCAGAGGACCAACCCCAAAAGCCGAAACTGCTCGGAAGCGTGGCCCTGCTTGGCCCGGCATGGGGTTCCCACGCGTGGGGCCCTGAGGAAGGCTGTGGCTTCCCACGTGGCTGCGGTGAGAACGTCCTTAGGAAGGAAAGACACTCCTGCCTGGGACAGGTCCCCACTCCCCATTGCTGGTGAAATCCTGTCCAGAATTCTTCTGCGTTTCTTGTTGAGCACACTCCCACCACCAAGCGCCGGGGGGTCTGCACGTCAGCCCAGGGGAGGGGACGCGAAGGAAATGCCAGCAGGAGCTCCGGGCTGGGCTAGCCGTGTCCCCAGGGCCCGGGCAGCTCTCGGTGACTCTGGTGGCCCCAAGTCCGGGGCTATTTCTGGTCAGTGCCTAGATGTCTGAGCTCTTCCCCACCACCGTGTGGACAGGACAGTGGCGTCATGCCTGTTCCGTGCAGACACGTGTGACAGGAGGGTCGCAGGACTGGATGCTGGATTATATGCTGCACTCCTCAGGGCTTGTCCTCCAAAGGTGTGGGTCAGCCATCTGGACCCTGCTGCACACTCAGTGCTGCTGGGGGCACACTGGCCCCTGAGGGTGAGCCTGTCACTGGGCAGAGTCTGCGGGAGGGTGGACTGACCTCGGGTGAAGGCAGGGTCTGCCGCCAGCCTGCCTCGGCGCACCTTGCGGAGCTGATGCGCTGACCGGGACAGGGAGGGGAAGCTAGAAGGGAGGCACAAGGTCCTCTCCCCCGGGAGACTGGCAGACGGCCATGGAGGCAGCAGGACATCCAGGCGTCAAGCTGAGAACACCCCAATTGTCCCGGGAGCCGGTGTCTGCCCACATTCCCGCCTCACTCTGAGATGAGCACAACCCCACGCACACCCTTTCCTGCAGCAGATCAGCGGGAACCCAGCCCTGGGGTCACCCTCACCTGTGGTTCCTTCTGGGATCTCCGCATGGGGCTGAGCGGCTGCTTGCTTGCCGGGGCCTCCCTCATCCACTAGGGGCGCTGTCACGTCTGGAAACCACTGAAAATCACCTTTGGGGGGCCCGGGATGAGCTGTGCCAAGCCCCTCACCTTGCGTTGTGTGCGGCAGCAGGGCAGGGAGGGGAGGCAGGAGGGAACTCAGCCGCATGCAAGAAAGCCACACCACAAAGCAGGTCCAGAGCCACCCTGTCTGACATCGCCCGGGAAGCACATTAATATTCTGCTTGAGTGGCACCGGCCCATGAGACGCCCAGGCCCTCTGCCAGGAAAGCCAGGGACAGCCCTGTGTAGGCACGCAGCGCAAGAGACTGCTGGGGACGGTCCCAGGGAGAGGTGAAGAAGAGATGTTGAAAATCAGATGACTGTTCACAGATGTCTGATCCTTAAGGCGGTGCAGGAGAGGAACTGGGACTAAGGCAGGGCAGGAACTCCGGGGTTAGGGATGGGGTCTACTCCGAGTCCTCTGGCCTCATTGGGCCTCAGTTTCTTCATCTGCAAAATGGGAGCATCAACTCCAGGTAGCCTCCAAGGTTTCCTCTAGCTGGCCCTGTCCCGAGCCCATGACCCCTGGTTAAGGAGCATAGAGTCCCCTGGGTAGCGAGGAACAGGCCCGTGCTGTCCGGGGTCGGGTGCTTGACCACAGACTGGGGCAGGGCCACCTTCAGAGCAGAGTCCGGAGGTGGAGACCCCCCACCAGGAGTTGCTGTTGGTCTCTCACTAAGGTGAAGGCTTCCAATCGGCATTGGTCCCCGAGCAATGCCCTGGCACACTCCCAGGCGGTTCTGGGTGAACATAAGGAGTTGTCAGTGCGGGAAGCTGTCCAAGGGCCTGATCAGTTTAGACAACTGGAGTCCATTTTAATTACGGTCTCGGGAGCAGGCGGAGCAGCCGGCCCAGCACGGCCCCTTCCCTGCCGGGTAGGAGCTGAGCTCTTGGGACCCACACATGCACAGGGTCCCCAGTGCAGCGAGACTTGTTGGAAGATTCTTCCAGAACACCATTGACGGGACACTGAAAACCATGATGTGGAAGGCTGGCCTGGGTTCTGGCATTAGCGTTTCAGGACTTTCTCAGGGAGGTAGGCAACTTGTGCAACTGTCCTAGCAAGATCAGCAGGATGTGTCTTGCATCACTGGCTCTAAGGAGAGAACAGAGCATTTGGCCTGGTATTCTCTTCCCTGGGCTGAGAACCTGGGGGTGGGGGAAGGGCCATGCCCACTGTGTCCTCCACGGATGCACCCTTAGACCAAGCAGTTGGCAGGCACTTGACAGCCGCTTTCTGAATTCATCCAAGGTGGATGCTGGGGCCAGGTTCGCATCCTGTGACACACAGGTGCAGTAACGGGCAGGGCCCGGAGCAGTGCTGAGAACAGAACCGGGAGCCTCCTTGGGGAGGATGAAGAGATGGAGGTGCAGATACCACGGACAGGTTGCTCAAAAGCCATTCTCAAGTCCCTTGTCTCTCGATTTCTCCTACTGAAGAGGCTGTAAAGCAAAATACCTGGTGGCCCAGTCTCCCTTCCAGCCAGGAGTGGCCGTGAGACTCAGTTCTGACAAATCAGACACAAGCAGAAGCTGGCCAGGTGGGGCTTGCAGAAAACCTCCTGCTTTCCTAATTAAAAGAGAACACTTTGGATGTCAGGGCTCTTTTGGCCACTTTGCTTTGCTACTTTCTTTCTGTTTCGAAGGCAGATGTGATGCCTGGAAGTGCAGCAGCCATATTGTAACCATGAGGCAATATAAGCATACAGGATGGCAGAAGATAAAGACGGTGGAACACTGATGAGACTGGGGACTGCCCAAATCTGGGTATCTTATCATGTGAGACAAATAAACCTCTTCAGGTATATGCCTCCGTTCCTTGGGTTTTCCTTGACCTGCAATCAAATTCAATCTCGACTGACATAGATGGGAAGCAAGAGAAGGTGGTCAAAATCGGGACCAAGGAGCACCCCAGGAAATACACGAGGAGCTTTACAATAACCTGGACAGCAAATGTCTAGAGAGAACAGGTCGGAAGATGGGCTGGAACTAACATGGTGGCCAATGTCCAGAGGCCCAGCCAAGCCCATTGCTCACACACAGAAGGACACTAAACCAGGACCAGTCGCAAAGTGTGAGCTCGGAGCCAGGCACTGACCTGCTCCTCTCCTCAGCCACACGGCTGCTCTGGGACCTGGTGGCTCATGCCAGAGTGAGGTGGGCGGGGCTTTGGCAGAAGTTTGGGGAGGTCAATGGAGATGAAGCAGGGGCTTTGAGGAGTTGCTTTGCCACAGACCCCAGTCTCTGCAAGTGTGGCTGCCTCAAAGCACCCCCACGATGAAGGCGCCCATACCTGGCACCAGCGAGCAAGGCATCAAAGCAGGGCTTGGCTCCGCCAGCATTCCTGAGCCAAGCCTGAGCCATCCTGCAAAGCACTGAGCGAGCGTATCTCTCAGCCAGAGGGAGAGGCAACAGCAATGCAGCCAGGAAGGGTGGCACACATGGGCGCAAAGCACGGCGACACGCAGGCTGGTGCATGGGAGGAGCTGGCTGGATGGAGCAATGAGAGGAAGGAGGCCCCACCTTTGGCTGTTGGAGTGCTCTTAGCATCAGCGGTTTCAGATCTGTCACCGGTGGGGGTCCGCAGGGGAGGCTCTGGAACATACACAGTGAGTCCCTCAGAATGGCCGCCTCGCCCACCCGCCCTTTGGACCTCAGGAGGAACTCAGGAGCAGTTTGTTTTGAAGCCCAAAGTCACTCAGTATGGTAGCCAGAGGGATGGACCGTGGCCACAGGATAAAACCACAAAGAGGCCCAACTCCCTACGCCCCCTCCCCGCAAACACCACGGTGCCCCACACCAGGGCCATTGGGCATAGACACAGGTGAGAAGCAGTTGGTCTTGGCGACAGGAGACAGTGCCTTTTATTAGCTTGGGGTTCCAGCTGAGGCAGGGCTCTCCTGCCAAATGGCGGCAGATATCAAAAAGCTACGCCCTGTGGACCTGGGGCCTCATCTTTCCTTGCCGGGGAGACTCATGGGAGATGACTGCCATTAACGAAGGGCAAGCAGAAAACACCTGGAAAACACTCGGCGCTCCAACTCCCTCCTCTGAAAAGGAAGTAGCTCAGGGCAGACCCAGTGCCCGCTTCTAACTGGACAACCAGTGTCTGAACTCCACCCAGCTCCTCTCACGGAAGGGTCTCTAAGTGCGGGCTAAGCAGCCTCGAGTGACACCTGGAATGTCAGCCTTAGTTACTTGGAAGAAAACTGTCCTTACAGAACTGGAAGCCAGGAAGCTCTGGCGCCCTCTGGGAGAGCCACTCCACCCAGGGTGGCGGCAGCCGTGGGGTCGGTTTCATGACAGGAGGCTGGTTCTGTGCTTGAAACGGATGAAAAAAGGCAAGTGGAGTCCTAGGGCATCGTGGGGTCAGATACCCCGGACCCTTTGCCAAAACGCTGTCCCGGGACACCAGCCCTGGCTGCGCCCATCCAGTCAAAGAAGCGCTAATTCTAAACAAGCCGCCAGCAGATGTAGTTCCCTGGTCCCGGAGCTTGCAAAAACCAGCAAACGTCATGCAGACTGTCTGCGGAGTCTTATTACTAACCAGCCTTGACTGGCAGGGCACCGGCACATATGGGCGTGACCGGGTCTCTAGCAACTTGTCCCCAAACACCCCTGCCCCCAATCTGTCCTCAGCCTGCAACCCTTATCATAAATTCCTTGGAGGTGGGAAGGAAGGGGAAGGAAGGGGAAGGGCTTCTTCCGAGTATCTTATCTAGAAGGTATAACCAGTTAACCCATTAAACACCTTTTCATTCATTAGGATGTCTTATTTGATCTGTTAACCAACTTGCACCCTCTGCAGCTCTCTTTGGCTGCATCTCATCCTTTCCCAATGTTTAGCACCTACTTAGATAATGCTCTGCAACTCTGAGACACAAAATAACTCAGTCAGCTGATTCTTACTGTACAAATTGAATTTAGTTTTCCCTTTAAAAAATAAGACTGGTGAAAACTGCTTTTTTTTTCTGGACTTAAAAAAAATGAGCTTTTTATTTGAGAACAGTTTTAGATTCACAGTAAAATTGCAAAGATAGGACAGAGAGTGTACCCCAAACCCAGTTTCCCCATTATTCACATCCTTCATTATTATGGTACATTTGTTGCAACATAATCTATATTTTTTACTTAATTTTTAAACCAGGCAACCCTACAAAGAGCATCATTTTTCATCGGCAGAATTCATCCGGGGCAAAATTCAGCATGTTGTGATTCTAAGTTGGATGCCATCCGTGAGCGTTTAATAAAGAGTTTAATAACTGAAGTTCCACGGGGACTTGGCAGAGAGTGATGAGAGGCGTGCGGGGCGGGGGCTGGAGGGCATGTGTGGGCTCAGGTCCTCAGACGAGGGAGCGCTAAGGGCCCAGCAGCCCTCCACAAAGAGCTGAAACTTAGCAACTAGGGCTGGAGCCAGGCTGTGGCCTGCGGGGAGGTCAGAGTGCACATTTCTTGTTACCATGATGCCAGGTAGGGAGTTCAAGGGCTCATTGGGAACCCATTCCTCCCACCCCCCCACCCGCATCCCTTCCCTCCCATCCTCTTTCTGGCTGGGCAGCCTCTGAGCCCAGGGACAGCAGGCCCACTCTGCCTCCACTTCCTCCAACCCAGAGCCCACATGTCTAATTTCCAAGCTCCTGTGACTCCAATGTGTTCTCTGCTTAAACACATACAGAGAGGCCAGCCTTTGAAATAAGGCCCCCAGTGAGTCCTGAAACCTTTCCAAGACAGGGACTGTGGTTCCTTCACCCAGGGCACCTCCTGGTGACCTGCCTCCTCCAGGGAGCCCTCCTGGATAGATGCACCCAGAAAAGGTGGTTTCCCACCTAGGAGCTGCACCGCTTCTATGCACCATCCCACACCCCAGGCTGCAAAGTGTTTTTAAAACTATTTTTACCACTAAAAGAGGAAGTAGACTGCTTGCCATTTTGTCCCCTTAGGAGTATTTCTGGAGGGCAGGGGCAGGGTCCTCCTCACACTGAGGCCAGCTCGGTGCTCCTGGCGGGAACCAGGCCAGCTTGTGGAGCAGAAGAGAGGCTGCGCATTTCCTGAATTTGGTGGCCAGACAGTGAAATGAAACATATTTGTTTGGGATGGGACAGGATGAGGCCAAGCTGATTTGCCCAAAAGACTGTATTTTAGAATATGCAGAAGTCGATGCAGTTTATTAACGTAGGTATAGTGGGAATCCCAGCGCTAACGAACGTGCCGAACAGGGCCCAGTCAGGCCTGCGAGGGAGAGAGGAAGCTAATGGGTAGGGCCACGTATTTTGCATGCTAATGAGTGCTGCTGATGTATAAGGTCAACAGGTGTGGCTAAAGACTCGAGAGAGCACCCTGTACTGATCAGACCGACCCGCCCTGCAGTCTGTCACACGGCACCCACTCGGGTGGCAAACTTCCCTTCGGAAGGTACATTTTCAAAGAGCGTCACTTCTGGGTTATCTTGGCTCATTCAAATGATGAGGCCTCTCTCTACTGACAATCTTCTAACCCAATAAAGTGTTTAAAACATCTTTAAGAAACTGGCTGAAAATCCTTCCTGCCGGCCTTTTCCAAAGCAAGCAGACCGGCTGTGAGTCCCAAGGCCCGGGCCTGCCATGCAGGGGGTGCACTAACCTTTCAGGCCGTGGTCCCCGTCGCCCTCGTGGTCCTGCAGCAGGGTGTAGCTCCCCTGAGAGGGGAGATCTTTCCTGTCCCCAAGCCCGTAGGTCCCGGCATGATCGTCCATCATGTTGAACTCCTGGCGGGGCTCAGTCATCCTGGTTCAAGGCCCACCTGGGGAGGGAAGATGGGAGGTTGAGGCTGGGTGTTGAGATGAGGCTAAGTGCTTGGGGGGTGGTGGGGTCAGTGCTTGGGGGGTGGTGTGTGTGTGTGTGTGTGTGTGTGTGTGTATGTGTTTGTGGAGTGGGGGTCAGGGAGAGTAAAGTGCCACCTCCCTAGTTCATGGCAGACATATCCTCACCTCCCCACTGACCTCCCCAGCAACCTCAGCCCGAGCTTTGCATCCCTGCCAAAGTGTTATTTACATGTATGTGCACCTTTAACTCACAAACATCACATCAGTTCATGTTCAAAAGCACCAGGCGGACAGGTGCAGCGAGCCTGACTTGTTATGCCCAGCACTCGTTCAACTTCAGTAAGAAGTAAGTGCTGCTGACTAGGAGTTTAATGGTTTTTGTTGGTTTGTTTGTTTGTTTTTTATGCAGAGAGTAGGACCAAACAGGAGAAGGCCTCAGCAGGCACCCCGGTAAGGGCACTGAAGCAGAGAAAAGCACGTGTTGTTCAACCTCATGCAACTAACCGCACAGCAGAACCACCTCTTGACCGGTGTCCTGACTCCCCCAGTTCCGAGTTGGGTAGCCCCCTGCCCTGCCAGGAGGTCAAAGCTGTGGCCTCCACTCACCTCACTGGCACCCACCAGGACCTCAGCTGTGCATTCTGAGGGCGGGCAGGGAATCCCTACCAGCGCCCGGAGCGGGTGTGAGGCTCGGAGCAGCATGCACCCCCTTCCCTGCAAAAGCCCAACAGAGCGCGGTAGAAATGACATTTACTCAGACGCTGTTCTCATCTTCAGTGAGAATATTTCTTTATTTAAAAACTAGCTCATAGCTTTGGGTTTCTGGACTTTTCAATATGCCACTCTGCCCTGGCTCACTTATGCTACTTCGGATTATTCCATCAGCTTCCATTTTTATCTCTGGAAGCTTTTAGTCTCTTGTCTTTAACTTTGATACCTCCCTTTATATAACCTAATTATCTCATAGTACTTATTCTTTTTTTATATATAAGCACAAGGAGGGGACTTTTATTGCACTGATCATGCAGAGTGAGCACGTGTTGAAGGCAGGGAACAATTCACTTCATTTAGGGTCTTGAGTAAATCCAGTGACGATCCCAGGCCCTCTTTACCTTGGTCACTATGTGTTTGCAAATAGTCCATTTTCAAAGTCAAGGGAGAGAGCTCCTTCTTCTCTGAAGAGAGCCAAGAATTGTCTCACACGGTGTTCAGGATCTATCTGTAGGGACATCTCGATCAACATTAGCAGCTTCTTGATTCCTATCCAGACCTTCTTATCTTTTACTTGCTGTGCAATTATGGTACGTTCTTTATCATTGAAGTTGCCCCAAAGCTCCAAAGCTTCCAACAGCTGCTCTCCTGTGGCAATGTTGGGCACGTGGATGGTGGTGCTGAAAGCGGTGAGCATTTCCATCTGCTGAAGGACATCTTTGCGGCTAGTGGTCCCAATACTAAGAAGCTTGCGGCCCTGAGGAGGAGCCTTTTTCAGTAACACAAGAAGAGCCTGTAATGCCAGATTAGAAAATCGAGGGCCAATAGGGACAGAATCAAGCAGTCTCAATATCATCCACAACTACACAACTGAGCTGGGATTTGTATGCATCATCGAAGATCTTCTTCATGGCCTGACACTTGGCTGTCTCAGAAAAGCCGATCGATCATCTTATCAGGAGAACAGATCTTGATGAAGGGGAAGTTGGATTCCTCTGCAATCTTTGCAGCTAATGCAGTCTTCCCACTGTGAGGAGGGCCTTCCAACAGGACGCTAACCAATGGTGTGCGGTCACTGTTTTTCATCTGCTGGACCAGCAGCTCTCCATCTTCTAGAATTCGAGTAACTGGATCACCCCATTTGATAATACCATTCGTAATGTAACTTGCATAATCCTCTTGGTTTGTGCCAAATGCTGGTTTGATATCATTCTCCAAAGAAGCGAAGAAATCTCCCCTTGTCACCTGCAGGCTCTCTGCCTTTTCCATGTCCACTTCAACTTTAGTAGTGGCCTTTATGTGTCTGTTCATAGCAGTGGATTGTGCCGCTCACACCAGACCCTCCAATTCAGCACCACTGAAATTCTTGGTCTCTGTGGCCAGTTCTTTAATATCTACGTCTGCAGAGAGTAACTGATGCCCTCTCATCCTTGCTGTGTGGATGTGAAGGATTTGTAGTCGACCTTTTTCATCTGGTAAGCCTATTTTCATTTTAACTTCCAGTCTTCCAGATCGAAGGAGAGCTTCATCTATCAGATCTGGTCTATTGGTCATTCCAATGACTAAGATGTTGTTCAGCTGTTCTACCCCGTCAATTTTGGACAGCAATTGGTTGACGACAGTGTCATGGACTCCTGTGCTACCAGCCATGCTCCCTCTCTGCTTGCATCAATTTCATCAAAGATGATGATGTGCAAACCACTGTTAGCACCAAGCCTCCTTTGCTCCTCTTCAGCATCAGCAAAGAGTTTACGAATGTTAGCTTCTGATTCTCCCACATATTTGTTAAGAATTTTTGACCCATTGACCACTTTGGGCTCTCTGGCATTCAACATCTTGCCAATCTGTCGAGCCAAGAGAGTCTTACCACAACCTGGGGGCCCATATAACAGGATACCTTTAACATGTTTGCAACCCATGTGTTCCACAATCTCTGGAGGAAACACTCGGGAAGCAAATGCTCGTCGAAAAATATCTGAAAATTCTTTGTCCACACCTCCTATTCCCATTTTTTCAAAGTTCCAGTCAGGATTGATGATAGACTCGCGATTTTCCTTGGTTTTAGCTTTGCCAGTAAGACTGAGTGATGAGTTTTCTGCTTTTTCAAATGCAACTTGACTATTTCCAAGAACCAGTCCTAGTTCAATCTTTTGTCTTTTACCTGTCCCCTGTTCTCCCTTCAGGATGCTGGGACCCATGGCTTCAATATCCTTTACTACTAAGCTAAAAAGCATTTCATTGAAGCTAAGTACAAGCTGTTGTCCCACTGAGAATGCCTGGTTGTTGAACTGTTGAATAAATTCTCCTGCCATCTTGTCGGCATCCTAAGGATTGGAGTCGATGCTTTTTTTCTGCAGGAAATCAATCTCGATGGTCATTGTGCCAACACATGGTTTGGTCTTGTCAAACGTATATAAAGACACTTCTATTTCTTGCCCAATAGAAAGCCCAGCCCATTTTCGCTGAGGTAAACGGAATGAAATGCTCCCTGGGACCACTGATGGGTGGGTCCTCAGTGTAAATGTGCACCTGTGGCTGGGAGAGGTCCTCACCACCACATGTTGGCCAGACTGGAAATCTTTTTCATTCACAACTGCACAGTTGGTTAAAGATAATTCATCTGTAGGACATCTTGCAGCCTGCATACTCCGACCCGCCATCTTCGCGGACACGTCCTCAGTACTTATTCTTTACTTATTTTTGAAACTCCCCTGTCTTATCGGCTTTCAATTCCTCCCTTTAAACTTTTACATGTAGTTGCTTCCTTTTATTGTTTAAATTATTTTTACTTTTAATTTTCACCCTAGATTTATATTAGCTTTTCATTTATTAATGTTTTTATTTTTATTTTTGAGATAATTTTAGACTTACAGGAGAGTTGTAAAAGTAGCCCCTCGGGTCATTTAGTAATTTTTAACCTTTTGAAATTCCTTTTGAATATATTTCCCTATGTTACCTTTTATCATTCTATCCTTTTAGGCTGCTTTTTTCTTTCATTCTTTCCCTTTTATATTTGTGACTTTTATAATTTTTCATAGTCTAAATGTAGTCTTTAATTTTCCTTTATAATTTGTAACAGCTACCTCCTTATGTTTCTGTTTTCACTTGAACTTTTCTCAGTGACACACAGGCGCTGCCGAAGTGGGTCAGTTGTCCAGGGAAGAGCTGATAACACAAACTGGAGTGGGCGGGGCCTTTTTCTTTCCTGCCTAGGAGGCATCTAGCTCTCAATTTCGGTGATCAATTAATAACGTCTCCATGGGAAAGGGCTGGAGGCCACACCTGATGACATGCGTCCTCTAAATGAGTTATGAGTTGCAGAGTGTTTTAAACCCACAGTCTCATCTCCACAGGCGTTGGGCAACTCATACACATGGTGAACTACAAGGTGGGGGGTGCACTTGGGGCAGACCCTCCATCTAATTTTTCCAAGACTGGCGTTAGTGGTGGGACAGCCAGCTTCCGGCTCTGTGTTTATACCAGCTGGCCACTGGCACACTCATGTCCAGCTTCATTCCTCTCCCTTCCGGGCAGGACACGCTGGTGTGGGTGCCTGAGCTCTCTTCTCCATCCACGATGCAGGATAAGAAGCTGAGAGCTGGGATGGTCTAGGAAGATTTTAAGAGTGAGGTCAAAACTGATGAACTGAGTGAATCCAGAGACAGAGAAGCATGGAACAGAATGCGGAATCTCAGAGGGAAGGCGGAGGAAGGTGGGAGGTAATCAACCAAAGACCTTGTATGCATATATGATAACCCATGGGCACAGACAATAGGGTGCTGAAGGCCTGAGGTGGGGGGCGGGAGGAGGTCAATGGGGAACAAAGGGGACATATGTAATTCTTTCAACAATAAAAATTATTTTTAAAAAAATCCAAAAGAGTGAGGTTAGCAGGACCTCTGCTGGGCGAGGCAGAAGGTGGTGGCCTGGCCCCACGGAGGCTGCTCCTGCTTATAGAGAAGGGGGCGCCTTTTCATCCTGACTGAGGCCCGAGGCCCTTGCCCCTCAGAGCTCTCTCGGGAAAGGCATCTGAGACTGAGCTTCTGCAAACCTTGGACATCTCCCCAAGGACAATCAGGACTCTATTTTGGGAAGATAAAGTCCAAATTCATCCTTTAAGGTTTAGGATTTGGTGGTGATATTCTCTATCCTTAGATATGCTGATGGTCTGTTTCCCTTGAAAGCCCCCAAACGTAAGAACCCCTCTTCTGAAAGGCACCAGTTCCATTGTCTGAGGTACATATATGAGTGAGCTGTGCTCCAATTAAACTTTATATGTGGACACATGAAAATTTGAAAGGCATATAATTTTCATGTGTCATGAACTTTCATTTTTCTGTCTCCCTCTCCCCCCAACCATTTGAAAAATGTAAATTCTCGGTGTGGCTTTTGCATTTGATGTTGGGTTTTGTTCATCTGCGTCTAGTGTTTCTAGTGTTTTCCATAAGGTTTCAAGTCATTCCTGGAGCTTCAGGCAGCAGCCCATTGTTCTGGAGACTGGGAACGTGCTGCTCATTTGGGTCCATGGAGCAGTTAAGAGGGTGGTTGTTCTCGGGGCCCTGGCTTCTGATGACCTCCCCCTCCCACCAGCACCACCCCGCAGGGCTGGAGAAAGCCAGACGCGCCAATAGGAAGCTGGATGAATTATAAGGGCTGCTGGAGAGATTAAATCATCCTTAAAAACACAGGCAGCTATTCACTATGCAAAATAAATGAACTGTGTGCTTCGCAAGGGCCAATATTTTCCTTTGGAAAAAAAGTGAAATGCATGGGAAGAACTCCCTAAGCAGGGAGGCTCACCATGCCACTTTCCTGCCAACCCCGGGCAGCAATGCCCTTAGGTTCCTGGATCTTCTGAATCAACAAGGCCGCAGCCCCGGAGCCTGGTACACAGTTGGTGACACACGGTTCCTGTCAAAGAAGGAGCTTGCTCCGTGTGGGCACCCCTCAGGCGTGTCACTGGACACACAGCAATCCTGTGATGTAGCTAGTCATCAGCATAGATATTAAGATTCCCAGTGGATAGATGAGGAATCTGGGAAGGTCACACAGCCCAAGGTTGCACAACCAGCAGGAGACGAGGCCAGGATGCAAAGCCCGTGTCCTGATAGAACACACACGGCCTGCTCTTCCATCCTGGACCATAAAATGTTCCCCAACTTCCTGTCGGGCACAGGGCTGGGTGTAGAAGGAGCATTGTCCAGGACTCTCACCCCGAAGCTGCGTGAACAAGTCACTTCTCTCAACCTTCTTCAGCCACAAAATGCCACTCTTAGAAAGCCCCCAAACATAAGACCCCCTCTCCTGAAAAACACCAGTTCCGTTATCGGGGACCTCTGAGCTCCCTTTTCGCTCTGCAATTTATTCTAAGTGGGACTGCTGGGCCTGTCCCCTCCAGCTCTGGAGCCCGAGGTCATTCACAGGACAGTAGGAGGTCTCTAGCCCAGGCCTGGGGGAGAGGCAGGAGCCCTGGCATCTCAGTCCTCCTCCTTCTTCCTCTCCTCCTCCCCCTCCGCCCTGACCCCTGCCATCTTCCTCCTTGAGAACCAGGACAAGATGATTTCTCTGAAATAACTGGACAAAGAACATGTAAACCAACTGACCACTGCCCGAAGACTTTCATGCAAAGACGGCAGGCGAAAAAACAGACCAGACGTGGTCATCACCTCCCAGACCCCTATAATCTAATGGAGACACAGAGACAGGAAAATAAACACACCAAGTGATGTCTTCCTTTGTTTTCTTATTCTCCTAATCAACCAATCTCTCCACCCCCCCCCTCCCTGACCCTCTCCCCCTCTCTCTGATTTCCTACCTCCTGCTCCCCCAGGCAGTGACTTAGAGGCCGCAGGGTGGGAGGTAGGGAAGGAATTTCAGGAGAGGCACAAAAGTTGAGCTAAACCTGGAAACTAAAAGGAGCCACTTTTTAGGGACCCTGGGAAAAGGACTGCATCCTGACAAGAGAAAACGTGAACCAGAGGCTGCTGGAGTCGGTCCCTGTCATTTTGTAACCGCGTAGATGGAGGCCCCTGAGGCCCTAGCAGGGGCCTGTGGAGTTGCTCTAGCGCCTTGTCCTACAGGGTCACATCCCAGTCCCAGCCAGGGGCAAAGAGAGGGAGAGAAATGTCCACAGGATTGAGAGAGACAGAGGGACAAAGAAGACAGGGCAGGTGAAGAGAAGAGAAGGGAACCAGAAAGGATTCGGCTCCCCTGGCCCTGCTGCCCTCTGGGAAACGGGAAGCAAGGGTGATGCCCGGCTGCCCCCCACCCAGCCCTCTGATCCTGCAGGCTCCCCAGGGGTCGAAGGTGTCCTCTGACGTGGAGTGGTCTCTACCTCATGGAGGTGAAGACCAAATGGCTTTCCTGCGCCTACCACCGCCTTTTCTATTCCTTCTAATTTTCTTACCCACGGCAACGCATTTTGGTGATGAGTAATTCAGGTTCTAGAAAGCTCCTTGGGCAAGCCAGGGCAGCACTGAACACCCTTTTGGCAGTTTTGGGATATTAACCAGTTAACTGCCACGATATTTTGAATTTAATTAAAAAAGGTCTGCCGCTTGCATCTACCGATGCTTGTGGTGTACAAATGGTTAAATGCACCTGTTTATTTGAGCTCTGACTGCCTGTAAGCCAGTCACAGTGGCTTCAGAAAGAGAGTATCTGTAATATGACAGCCCATGAAAGGGATGACTGTTCTCCCTTTCTGGATGAGGAAACGGCTCAGAGAGGGTCAGTAACCTGTGGAGGGTCACACAGCTAGTAAGGTGCAGAGCAGGGTTTGAATTCTGACCTTATGATGCTA